CTGACAGCTCCTCAAAACTGACCCGTTTACAGCACCAAATGCTTACTGATCTAGCCTGCTCTAGACGAAATAAATAAATTCTCTGGAGAAGCTCTTCCTTTCTAGGCACAAAATGGTAAATTGTTGGTTGCTAAATGCTAAATTAAATAGGCAATGATATCAGAATAATAGCTGGCTACTCATACTATCATTTTATGAGGTAGCGCCAAATATCTAGGAGCGTTTGCCAAAAAAGAAACATGATTTTTGATTGTTTAACGTTTGACTCTCTAGCTCCATAAGTTTTCTAAGCTTTAATATTTCTGAATGGCCTGCTTGATTTCAGACTCTCAATTACAAACGGACCGTACCTCATTTCTTGCAATTGGACTCGGTTTGAAGTCGTAGATAATAAAGCAACTAGGATAAATTTGGTGCAAACCTACCTAATGACGATCATTAGGCCTAGCGTACCAATTACTCTATCAAACAAATTCCGCAATGTGAGATCTATATATGGGTAATGTCAATAGTGTACAACTTTATAACGTAATTCTAGCGTGATGGAAAGTGGCAGTTTCGTTATATAGGTGGAAATTAGGTCAGGATAGCTCTTTATACTGAATGATTAAATGGAAAAGATTCAAAAATGAAAAGATTATTGACCAAGCAACGACCAAATATATACATTTCCTGCATGCATTTGTTTTTGATTATGCTTCCCATATATTGTGTTTCTAATTTTGAACAAATCTCAAGGGCCACAGGAAAGACTTATACTTTCATTTTTTTATCTTCGTATTTTCCCGCTTACGCAGGGTCTACTGTACGAGTCAACTGTCTCCAGTATTCTCGATTTAAGACATGATGTTCGTCTATCCTAAGTTCTTTCAGGTCAGCTCTGATTCTGTCTATCCACCTCATCTTTGCTCTTCCCCATGGTCTTTTTGCAGCGACCTCTAAAGTTATAGCCATTCTTGTGATGTGGTTCTCATCTCTTCTACTCACATGCCCGTACCATCGCAGTCGCTTTTCCTGCAT